TAAGACAAATTCCATTACAATGGCTATTCTTAGGATGCAGGTCTCTCTGTACTACTACTATAGAAATGAAGATTAGAAGTGGAGAGTTGCTTCAATTTTTAAAATGTTCCTATGGCATAGCAGGAGGGTTTTTTTGGAGCACTTCCCTAATATCAGTTCCCAGCCCAAAATAATTATTTTGGAAACTGGTAAAAAAAAAAACCAAAACAAAAAAAACCCTTGTGCTCCAAAGATGGAGTATTAAACAGTCAGGGGGAGGGAAGAGGAAGGAAACTCTTTTCTGCACCCCCTCCACCACTTGATATCTGCATTGCTATCTAATCTGCGTTACTGTAGTCAAATGTAGCTACATAATTTCCAGACAATTTGGGGTTGGTGGAAGAGATCAAGTGAGGAATCTTTCTAGGTCTCTGGCTAATGGCTGCAGAGTAGGAGGAAAGATTTAAAAGATCATGCCCCAGTAAATTAGCTCAATAGGTTATTGGCATGTTAAGGAGCTATATTACATGATAGGTTTTTGAATAGACCTGCTGGACAGATGGATGAGGGAAATACAGCCTACTGCTTCATGGTTAACTTCAAATGCAGATGACTGCCTATTAAGAAAGCCTCTTGCTGTAAAATGGTGTCTGCACTCTGGGGGATGTCTATTAGAGCGTCAGAAAATAACTACTCTACTTCTTCTTTTACAGAGTGGAGTACCCGCTTTCTTGAAGGATATGCAGAAGGCTTGCCTTGCTTATCATAAGGAAACATAAGCTACTACTTCAGGACTGTCTGAATGGCTTTACTGATTTGTTTTCCTCAAATAGGGTGCTTGCGTGGATGGCAGTTGTAACACTGGATGAAATCTACCTCCTGGGATATAACTAGTTTTTGAGTGGCATAGGTGTCATTGGCATGCCTTGGACTGCATCTGGCCTCTTAACTTCCATTTCTTTGTGCTATTTGGCCCTCTTGCAAATCACTTCATTGGCATTTATGAGGCTGCTTATTTCAAAGCGTTTTCTTATCCTATTCACTCTATTCTTCTCTATGTCTTCTACGCTGGATCAGAGAGGGATTTCAGTTCATGAATATCAGTCTTCCAGTAGGGTTCTTGTTTGGAAGAATACATTCAAATGGCTCCTAAAATATTTATTTTTCGTTTTAGCAAAGAAGGGAGTTCTGACGCTCTAATTAACCATACATACTCTCTGTAGTCTTGCCAGGTAACTTCCTGCACATTCTGGCAGATATCATGCACGTGCACTTTGAGCACTTTTTGAAGCCTAATAGTCTCTTTTCTGCTTCCCAGGCTTTATCATGTGTAGCCTGGCTCTGCCATTCCTGGCCCTGTACAAATCCTGTCTGCTTGCCAGAAATACAAGATCCTTCCTTTTTTCTTTATTAAACTTGAAGCCTATTGCCTGCTTAAGGACTTCTACTCTATTTGTAGAACTTTGTTTACCTGTGACCACCTTAAATCTTTACTTTAAGCATTTGGTTAAACATGCATTGGCATCATCGTTGCCTAATGCTTGGCCTATACCACACCCAGCTAGTTGAAATGAAGCAACTTGATGAATTGGTTTTGTCGTACTTCTCTAGAATCTAATTTGGCATGTTCAAAGTTTACAATAGGGGCCTTAAAGCTTGGATTTTCATTATAATTTCAAATTATTGCTGAGATGGTCCCACTCTGTTTAGGGACCCTTCTAAATCTGTCAACAGCTAAATATTTTGCTCTCCAATCAAATTGGATGTGCATGTAAAGAAAGGGAAAGGATTGAAATCCTGCAGCTGGTGACCTTAAACTAATGGGAGGAAACTATGTATATTTGGGGGGGAAAGGCATAACTTAAGGTTACTATCTCGGGGATGTACAATACTTCATACCAGGATGGTGCAGCACTGGTTAATGGAATGGTGAATCTTTTCTAAATTAAAGATCTATAAATATGTATGTATGTGTTTAAAAAAAAAAAAAGGCTACTATGGTTGTATATACCTCACTGTTTGAATGTCGTCTTCAATACTAAATTAAAAAATCCTGTAACTTACTGCTTTGTATAGATATGCTTGTCATTGCTAGAAAAAAATTATTCTTAATCTTGTTGACCACAGGTAACTGTCTCTACCTTAATCATTGGCCATAGTAAACCTGGAAAACTTGAGAACAGTTGTCTGCGTTACTTGACTAGTTTTACATAGATGTAGTTTGACTACTTGCCAAAGGCTTTGAGTAAACCAAGTATAAATGCATTCTGAATCTTTAACTGTGACTTCGTAAGGTTAAGAAGCTGTCTGAAGTTACCACCAAATGATATGAAATGGGCCAGATTCAACCAGTGAAACTAATACTTCTGCTGCTTTGTTTGCTTGTTTCTCTTCTTGCAAAATAAATTTAATTGGGCTTAGAGGTCACTGTCATATGACACATGCAGGTCAGCAGGGATATAACAGAAATGACTGATCCTAAATTTTTTGTTCTAGAGCAATTTCTGTCTTCTCCCCATGATGATTCTATCTGAAAAGTGAAATTCTTACACGTTCCATTCTGGGGATTTCCTCTTGGTGCAAGATCCCACTTAAATGGTTGCCTGTAGGTTCTGTTTTGGGAATCCTGCAACTCACAGTCCAGGCTGTTGGAAGTGTGCAATATTTTTTTTTTTTTCTTTTCCACCCACTTCCCCCCCTGCATTTCTAGATGCATGCACTTTGGCAAAGTAACCCTCTGGCTATAAAGAAGGTGGAGGCAATGAGGGTTGCTGCTGAAGAGTGGTGACCATTCTATGCCATAACATCCCTCTTCATAACAAAATAGCACCTAATCCTGCCTTGGCATCTTTTTATTTTTTATTCTATACATATCCCTCCAGCGCTAGACCTGCTTCTAAGAGTTCATTGAAATGGAAGACATTTCTCCAAACTCCTTTTGAAAATCCCATGGTTCACCCCTCCATCTCATCTCTTCTTTTCCCTCTTCCCCCCCGCCCCCCAAACTTCTGCCATTAATTATTTCTAAATAGAAAGAACTTATCTATTTTGTGCTGCCTTGGGCATTGCAGCTTTATGTAGTTTTACATTTTAATGTGGAGTGGCTCTGCATACAATGATGAAGTCTGAGCTGGAACACATATACCACAGAAGCATTGGGCTGAAAACTACCCCTTGGGGGTTCTTGTCCAATGTGAAGGCCAGAAATGAAGTGTTTAACACTTTGGGTTCTGAACGTTATTTGTACTAAATACTGGAAGTAACTCCTACTGAATACAATAGTTTGGCTAACACAACAGCAGTCCACACTGGCATTTTACAGAATGCTTGGCCTGTACAGTTAATGGAGCTTGTTCTACAAGTGTGAGAGTCCAGAAACAAGCTTTTCAAATGAGAACATGGCAATACTTCTAAAGATGTACTTGTACACAGTTTGTCCTAAAATGCCAGCTTGATTCAGGAGTTGCTTCCTGTTTCAGTGCAGGAAATTGCCCTATGAGGATCTTTTATATCTTGATCTACTGATGTACTAAAAGCTTTCATTGACTTAGAACTGCAAAGAAAACATTCTGGATGCTTCTATGCTGAGCTCAATATTTAAGGTGTGTTTTAGGAATGCAAAAGAGTCTTTTTAAACCCTGTAGTTATTCAGACCATAACTGGGCAGACTGAAATGCACTCCAGTACTCTAAAATAAGTGTACTTTTTTTTCATTGTACTGATGAGAGAAGAACTTAGACAGACATTTTGTTTTTGTTACTTTCAAATAGTACTTTTGAGAGGGAAAAATGTGATTTAAGGGCAGTAGTATTTATTTTAAAATAACTTTGAAGGGGTATTCACTTAAGCATACTCTCTCTGCAGTTTATTCAGTTCAGTTAGCTTTTATGGGGCACTCATACCTGTTGCTTCATGGATTTTTGCCTTACCCTTCTCTCCCACTTTCCAAACTGCATAAAATCTCTGATGTACATACTACACTCTTCCTCATGAAGACGGGATTCCATTGAAGCAAGACATCTGATTTGCCTTTATTTAAGCAAGCTTGACTTTGATAGTGTTTTAAAGCTCACTCAAGTGAGTCCTTTCTCTAGACCTGCTGCCTGTCTCTGCAGTGGGAAATTGTGTTGTGCAGATGTAAAGGAATAACTTTTTTCCCCTTTTGGTTCTCAATAAATCACTCCTTAATGTTTATCAAGTGCTCACTTTTTTTTATTCATAATGGAACAAAGTCAATAAAAGACAGTTCACTTCTGAATATACAGTTGGATTTCCAGCTAGCATGAAAGAAATGTAGAATATTTGCATTCTGTTGCAAAGATTTCTGACTGAACACTATCAATGGCAAAGAACAGTGTTTAGTTTAGAAATGTACAACTTCTGTATAAAAGATGACACATGGAAAAGATGACTCTTGCAGACTTGTTGCTCTTCTAGATTTATTTCCCAGCCAGCTCCTCCCCTTTTCTCTAAAGTAATAATAGAGAAAAATTAGTGACTTCTTAAAAGGGTTGTGTATCAGTATTTTGCATACTCTATCAAACTGTATTGGTCAAAAGGCCTGGCTTCTCGTAAGTGTGCCTTCCAACCTCTTTCTGCAGCTTTTGGTGTTTGTATCTTCATATGCTGAGCAACTGCATAAAGCTTCAAAGTATACAGACCTTACTAATTTTAAGACTGTGTTTAGCTGACTTATAAACAGAAACCTAGCTACCTGGTGTCCTCCGCTTCTGTAACTGCAGGTGTGGCTGTAAGCACTGAAACTTTAACACTGACATGGTTATTGGTCTGTTTTTACCCGGTAAGATTTGTTTTAGTTGAATTGGGGGCTGTAAGGAAGGACAAGTAGGAGTAAAGATGTAAGAGGGTCCCAGAGGACCCTCTCTTGTGGACTAAGAATAGAACAACCAGGTCCTGCTAAAAGCAGCTTGCTTGATTGGTAGTATGTCAGGATTATACTAATACTTGACTGGCTTCATGTTACCTTCTCAGCAGGTATGATGCCCTTTTTCGAGCCAAATGTTTGGATTTTGGAGACACTGGCCCTTAGCAGACATAACACTTTAATCAAGTCTTATCTGGTTAATCAATCCTGGACTGGTATCTGGTGTGAGATCCCAATTGTCATGCCTCCTTCCATGCCATGTGTAGTAGGAGACACAGTTGTTGGGATTATGGATCAGATCCCATCGGGCCTCTGGCAGCTGTTCAGTTAAAAAGGCATAAGTCCGCATTCCAATCAGGACCTCACCTCCATAAGTGCAGGCTTTCTGTTCTAAGAGTTTTTTAAATAGTTGATTCTCAACAAAAGCACCTTGTTGCTGACAAAGGTGCCACACAGTTGGCACCCTTAGGTATGTGAACAAAACTTAGAGGAGATCCCCAGAGATTTCAAATAAGAAGCTGTAGTGTTTAAATGCTTTCTGACTTATGGTTGCTGTGTACTTTTGCAGCAGAACTCCTTTCTCTGCCCCCCCCACTTTTTCCCCTTTTGCTTTCACCTAAGAGCTGGCACTTTGAGGGATGTCTCCAGTCATCCAAAGGTGAGAACCACTGGACTAAACAGGTGAAACCATGGGCCTCGGACAAAGTTGAGGCAAGAGTGCAGAAGGCAAAGTATAAAACCCAAGGCTCCTCGCCTTCCTTCAATTTTCCCTTCCACTGTATTGCTGCAGTCTTCTCTAGTACAAACCAGGCTTGGGAGGACAAAAGGCAAAATAAACTCTGATGCATTTTTAAATATTTACCAGTAACTTGTAGTTGAAGGATTCCCACTCACTTAAATGAGTTGTAATACTGCTCCAGTGCTGGGCAAGTTGGATATAATTTCTCAAAGTTTAATGCTGATAATACCAGGGTTCAAGTTAGGGTAATTGCCTATTAGGACAAGTTCCATTACAAGAGCTAGTCCTAGGATGTAGGTCTCTGTACTACTATTATAGAAATGAAGATTAGAAGTGGAAAGTTGCTTCAATTTTTAAAATTCTGTCACAGCAGGAGGCAAAAAAACTTGGGCTTTAATTTCCAAAAGGAGTATTAAACAGTCAGGGGGAAGAAGGAAACTCTTTTCTGCATCCCCCCATGTCACCTTGGTACTTGCATTGCTATCTAGTCTGTGTTGCTGTATTCAAATATAGCTACATAATTTCCAGACAATTGGGGGTCAGTGGAAGAGTAGTGACACTTGTCTCAATGATGAGACTTGCTCTTATTGAATAGTGGGAAGATCGGCTTTAAAGGCCTTTAGAAACCTGTTTAGTTGCCTTTGCTAAGCTCTAAGAAACCAGTTGGAGCAACAGGCATCAGGCTTCCCATGTAGTCATGGGAAAGCAGGGTTCAAAAAGACCTTTATGAGGTCACCAGGTCCAGCCTCTTGCTCAGGCTTGAGATCCATTACTAAGCCTCCAGCTATGTCTGTCTAATTTGATCTTGAAAAATTCCAGGGAGGGAGATTCCACAACTTCTTTATGTTGCCTGTTCTAGTGCTTAACCACCATCATGGTCAAATTCCTTCTTAATCGCCCACCTAAATTTCCTTTGCTCCTAGTCATATCCCCTATAGCCCTCCAGCAAAGTTTAAAATTACTTGCATTTGCCAACGTGGTATGGAATCTAGCTCTTTTTTCCTTTTTTTTGTTTGATTAATAATAAAATACACTTGTTGCAAATTCTGCATTGCCTTTCTGTGAACGCTGGTGGGGACCCTAGATGAAGCCCAGATAGTTGTGAGTGACTAGTCAGGTTCTTGCCATGGGCAGATCAAAACCTGAAAACAGCCAGTCCACTGCAAAACAAAACCAACAAATTTTGTTACTAATTTCCACCAAGCATTGTTTTCTATAATTGCTTGAGCCTAGATATGCATCAGGTTGTCTGCTATAGAATGATAGAGAAGCTTTGTATACCTGACTAACAAATGAAGCAAAATTTGGATTACAAGTTGGCATAGATAAAACACAGAATCTCCTGGTAGATATGTAAGGTTCCCAACTTACTGGTAGCCTTGCATAACAATAACACAGATTAAGCAAGTCACCCATATTAAGTGTTTAAGCCATTAACCATATTAAGGTTCCATTGTAGCACAGGAAGGTAACATGGAAGAAGTTAAAGGAAGGCTAGCAGCAGGAAATAAAGCCTACTTTCCATTGCTTAAGCTCCTGCCATCCAAGCTTAGCTTCAGGAAAAATTAAGCTTCAAATCTATAAAACCATATTTGGGCTACACCTAATCTACAGTATTCAAACCTGGGTTTTCTCATGAGTACAAACAAGATGCTACTAAATCCTTTTGATAAAAAGAATCTATGGAAAATCTTTGGTGCACAGTCTAATCCCAGAACAAGAATGGTGCACAAGCACCAGTAATGAGTATAACAAGTGGACAGAGATCTAATCCTGACACAGGAAATCAGAG